CGCCGGCCATGGTGAACAGGCCGCTACCCGACACGCCCGCCGGGGCCAACCCTCGCGTGTGAGCGCATGCGCCGAGACAGTGACTCGCAATCGCGTGTGCGCGTGTGTGTGATGTGAGATCCGTGGAACGGAGCGCCGCCTTCGGGCGGTGCGTTGTTGGTGAAGGCAGGGCGGCCGGAGAGCGACGAGCGATGCGTATATGTGATAGCCATCGTTGCTGAAACGCGAGCTGGAATAAAGTGATCCTCATTTGTGATATCATGTATCCCATAGATAGGAAATGCAAAGACTTAGTGTTATATTATCGTGTAGTGTTCGTCTTCACTGACAATACGCCCCTTTTTGCATTATAACGGAAGAAAATATATATATTTCTATAACGAGTGATATTTCTGTATCAGTGAATAATAACCATAAAGCTGCTTGGTGTCCATTATTTTCTGAGATTTAGTATGGAAAATTTTGTACAACACGATTACTAGCTTACTTCCTGAATGTTGCGTGCCATATAAATATCATTACACAATATCGTAAAGGCGGATTGCTGTGACATGTAACACGGACGTTGCAAAGAAATATAAATAAGCTTTTCAAAACGAATTCAAGTAAATACAGAAAGAACGCAATTAAGAATAAAATTACGGTGCCAATGAGAACTTGCCAGGATCTATACACAGCTAGTGTTGGTCTCGTATTCTACATTCCTTGTATATCTAGGTTTTTATATGAAGCACTCAGGTGTAGCAAACTATTACCACATTTATACGAGACAAACAAAATAGACTGAACAAACAGATACAACTGCTAGGAACGATGTTACATAGACATAGCATTTCATATAATTTTATACAGACATACTCAAAAGAAAAAGCATTTTGTGAGGATGTTTTGACGTAGGGTCTCTAGAGAAGAAACAATAGTTCTTTGACGGAACATTGACCTTCACGATAGCATCGTAACCACCTTGAACATTTTGGTTCATAGCCTCCAGGAAGTTCTAAATATTTTCCTCGACCGATAATTACAATAACACATGTTAGCGAGCTCTTCACAATGGATAGATTTCATTTATCCATACTTCTATGCTTTGTAGAAGAAAACGAAAGTACACATGGTCGGACGAAATCGACAGTAGGAAAAGAAGAAAAAAATACCGCAAAATATTACGGCATTTTGCAGCTAGAAATTCGCCAAATGCAATTTCTCTTACTTCCACACCTGGCACGAAATTACACCACTCAAAACAATCAGGAATAGCGCAAATCACCCTGGGACCGCCCCGCCCCTCCGCGCCAGTGAAGACCACGCCCCTTTCTGCGCGAGCGCGCCCTCCGCGTGCGCGCAGCATCGCTCGTTGCTCTCCG